GCACACCAGTCAAAATGTTTTGTGATAAATCAATGCATGCACATTGCTTCGAACCCAGTGTTTCTGAACGAACGAAGCATAAGAGATAGACTGTCACCTAGTACGTGAATGATTCAATGTGAATGGTGCAAACAGCATACGACTCGAATCAACCTGCAGACTTGTTCACACAAACCACTAAGCTCGGCACAATTTGAGTTAATTAGCAAGTTGGGTGTCATCGACATTCACACTCCAACTTGAGGGGGAGTGTTAAAATGCATGAAATAAACATGTTGGAATAATGGTGTTGGATGACTAGTGAAATTAGGCTAGTCAACTTCTTGTCAAAGTTAGCAAGTTAGGTTAGTTAAGCATAGATAGGTAAGTTGATCAAAATTATAGAAATATGATCTTTTTCTTCCCTATATATATGTTTCATCTTGTAATTGTTTCATTAAGCAAATATATATCAAAATTCAATAGCGAACAATACACGCATCAAATTTAACATACAGGAAGTAAAACAAACGGAAGGGAAGGCCTGGAACTCACCCCTGGGCAAAAATACGCCCGGCGCCGAGGGCATTGTGACCCACTTCACTATTGCCCATATCATCCTCTGTGGGAAGTCCCACGGCAGTTCCGTGAGCTCTCACTAACCTCCATCTTTCAGGAGCACCCTATATCCACAACACCACACACACACGCGCAATCAGTACGAATCGAAATTCAAATTCAACAACAAAAATCTGAGACTTTAAACGAACAGGGCAATCGAAATTCGAAAAACCAGATCTTTAAAATTACGAAAGTCACCTTCTTGAGCGAATCCATGACGGGGGTCTCGGCGACATGGATGCAGTTGTACTGGTCGGCGTTGGCCTCGCCCCACCCATCCAAAACGATGAGTCCGATGACCTTCCCCTTCGGCAACTTAGGGTGATCCGGCAGTTTCCAGTCGAATCCTGAGCTCCCCATTTTCCTTTTTCTCGATTTTTCTGCTTCCAACGCAAATCAAAATTCAATCATAACCCAAAGACCCACCAATTTTATGTCACAAAAATACAAATAATTCACAATCAAATTATCACTAAAAATACAAACAAATCGCACTCGATAATTAAATAAAAAAAATTTTAATTAAATAAAAAATCTTAGGAATTATGAAAAATATCGAACCTTGTGGAACAGAGGAGCTGAAGAGCGCGAGAAGCAACTTATAGCTTGATCTCCCTGCGGCCGGTATAAATAACGGAACCCAACAGACGGAATGGAGCTTGTTCTCGCCAGGGACTTACTTGCAAATCTGACGCCGTTGATTTTTAGTACTTTTTACCTTTCCAGGATACCACTTGGCGTGGGGGAATAGACCCCGCGGTATTTGACTCAGTGATTTGCGGTCCACCATTGTAAGGTGATCACGAAATCTTGGCGTTACACATGGCCCGTAGAGATGGAGAAGTCGCGATCATTGGCCAAGCGGAATCCACGTGAAGTCGAAAACCAGAGGCGGGGTAATGCACGTGTTAGCTTAGCAAAGCGGTACCTGATACGCTTTGGGAAAAAAAAAGTTTTGTTCGGATTATTAAACGAATATTCTAGAAGAACCGAATTTCGTTCTAATTATGTAATTGACTGGTATTGATTAAAAAAAAGAATTTTAACGAAAAATTCTTTATATTATTTATTTTAATGTAAGAAGGAGGGAGTGGAGGCTTAATCTCATAATGGATTAATGGATTAGCAATAAAGTGATTCAAATTCGTATCCGAGAATCGAATATAAGACCTCTCACGTACAAGTGAAGATGATTTTATTCATGTGACAATAGGAGAGATTTTCAGTGTGCATGAAAAAACAAGTCAGTACACTACATGTATAATACAAGTGAAGATAAACTGAAAAATATATATTATCTTTATTTGTTTTGACACATAGTAGACCGACTTGTGTTCCAAATTTATGAAAAATCTCTCCAATATGAGCACAAATACAACCAACACCATACATAATATATGATTATTCTTCGGCCATTAATCGACAATAACAAGAGACTAATAATGATCAGCCACTAAAATTATACATATGAATGTTGTAAACTCATATGTGAAAATAGTTGATGAGCTTATTTCTTTTCAATTTCATGAAGCAAAGTATTCTAGATTCAACTCACATAAATAGCCAAGTCGAATTCAAACTTATTCAACCAAACAAAAATAAATAAATATATTGTGATGTCGTTTATTCAACTTTTGGTGCTGCGTGCAGGTGCATGCGTCCAATTTTGTATATAAAAATTGAACCTTTTGTGTGCCTACTTCATGCTCTTGTTCTATTTAATTCAAGTTTTTCAACTACTTAACAAACATACTTTATATTTCAATAACGTTGAGGTCGTCGTCCACATTTTGAATTTCATTCTGGAAAGGGGCATGCATGCATTTAGGTATAGTTTGATATGCAGACAGGACGGAACGGTGAGGGAGCAAAGATGCTCTCGGATGGAAACAAGGAGGAAGAAGAAGGAGACGGAGATGTTATAATTTTGTGTTCCACGGATGTAGAACGAGTCGTTTCAGGGAGGTAAGGCGGAACGAAAATTCACCCAAAATTCGTTACATGGAACAGCGCGTTCCACCCGTTTTAGGCGCACCAAACGTGGGACGGAACGTCTCGTCCCACTTGTTTCGTCCCACATTTAGTGCGCCTAAAACGGGTGGAACGCGCTATTCCACGTGACGAATTTTGGGTGAATTTTCGTTATGCCTCACCCCCTAAAACGATTCATTCCACATCCGTGGAACATAAACTTATAATATATCCGTCTCCTTCTTCTTCCTCCTTATTTCCAACCGAGGGCATCTTTGCTCCCTCTCCGTTCCATCCCGTCATTTTCTGTCCCGTCGCATTCCGTTTCGTCCCATCCCATTTGCAAACTAAACAATACCTTAATGATGTCATTTGAATAGAGAACGATATTTGTTAATGAAGCGTCAACTCAAATACAAGAAGAGTCTTGGAAGAAAATATCCTGTACCATGTGGTGAGCATGGTGTCTTATGTGTGCAGCTGGACGACCACTTAATTGGGTTGTTTGCACCCTATCGTGGCTTCCTCCACAAAATATCCCGTACCTTGTATTAGGACTTAAGCCCAATATTTATAACTGGGATGACTTTGTGGTGCAAATCCAAATCGAGTTTAAGTGGACTAAATTTTCGTAGTGTTCATTAATTTTTGAGCATATCCCTATCACCGATACCAATGGAACTCAATACCTGTTCGACTTCGGATGTAACACAAAGCCAACAGGTTACTAAACAACCGGGGAAAACTTTCCCTAACCTTGTGAAACATTCGGTCATCTTTTTGGCATTTGACATGACAAAAAATTGTGGTTTTGCTTGGGCTGAAGTCCTTTATTTAGAGTTAACAAACAATCGTCTCTCGGACTTACAGGGGCCTTCAATCCTATAGGAGCTTCAATTTGGGGACCCAAGGATGATGCCTCAAGGCCCAATATGGCTTTTGGAAAACGATGATGTCGAAGGCTTCTATAATCTTTTCTCTTTCTTTCCCCTCATGATTCTTTGATTTTACTCTTAATTTATAGGGGGAGGTGAATTCGATGCAAAAGTAAATTGTCTATTATGTGACTTAACTGAACTCCCATTTTTCTTACTGGAAAATATATTGTTGTAATAAAATAAAATAAAAAAAGAAATTGGACTAAATATAACAACTCAAATTAAAAAATAATAATAATAATTATAGGAGGAGGTATAGTTACATATTAAAATCATCGCTTAATTGTAGTACTAAGTAGCTGGTACAACACATTGTTAAGTTCAAGGACTAAAAAAATAATATAAGAGTTTCCAAAAAAAAAAAATAGTAATAATAATATAAGAGTCCAAAGTAAAATTAAACTAAGGTAAAATTCAAAAACTATTAGCTACAATTAAGCCTAAAACTATTAAGAGCAGTTCCGGTAAGCTCGTCAGAGCCGTAAAGGTCACCAACATTGTTATTCAAAGGCTTATAAATGCTTTGATTTGGTGAGCCACATCAACCAAATCAGTTCTAACTCAAGAAGCAAACAACTCACCTTACAAATATGTGACCACTTTCTCTCTCTACGAATTTGGTGACAGCTTTCTTACTATTCAACTCAATTTTCTTGATTAAAAATAAAACGTTGAGTTCATTGGAAGAACATAAAAGATTAATTATAATAATGAATATAAATTAAAATGTTATAAGAGTCTGTTGCAATGTAAATTTTTATAAAATCGTAAAAAAACAAATTCGACTTGAAGGGCAAAATTTGTTTTTGGAGTTGAAGATACTTTTCGTAGAGTAACTTTATACACTTGGATTGAATTTGATTCATATGGATGGATACACCATAAAAGACTTAAAAGTTGTAGGGGTGTGATATCCACACACCCCTTTTTACTTCTCCCACACCTTTTTGGTTTTCGGCCATCGGATCAGATGAATTGAAGAAAATCAACGAACATAAATTAACAAGGGATGTGAGAAGTAAAAAGGGGTGTGTGGATAGCACACCCCAAGTTATATTGTAACAATTGCAAACAAGTAAACTTAGGTTTTCGAAGCCAAGTTGTGTTTGAACTTTGAAGAGCCAATTTTAAAGTCTTCTAGAAATGATATCAGAGTTCATAGAGAAATATTTTAGTATGTCAAGAATAGGCCTAATGCACCAAGTGTAATATTATAATTGATTGAATTTTATTTTTCGAGTTTTCAACCAATTATATTATTACACTTAATATATAATGTTGTATTTTCGGTATACTGAAAAATCTCTGATGTACCACCAATTCAAACCATGACTTGGACTGATTATTATTCACTAGTCAATCTTTAATAATTGAGTTACTCCATCAAATCGGTCAATTTTAATATAAACGACAGTCTAAATTACTCTAAAACAATAAGTTTTCGTAACTAAGAAGAATATATAAACTGAAACAAACGTCCAACAACACATATAGCAGAATCAACTTCCAAAACAGCAACAAGATAATTACTGCAAAAATATCTTCACCGTATCAACTTTTCACACATTACATATGTTTCTGCTGAAATTCTTAAAAACTAAAAACATAAACCTACGTACGATAAACTTTGTTTTTTCCAAGTCATATATACATCCCACTTAAAGAAGCTTGGTTTTTTGTATAAAAGGAAAAAACCAAGCTTCATTGATTTTTTCCGATTTAAAAGAAGAAGAAAAAAAGGAAAGAAAAAGAAAAAAGATAAACGCAAGTGGGATTATCGGAGAGACAACAAGAGATCGACGAGATCAAACCAAAAAAGAGAGATTTGGAACATAGAATTTATAGAGGAGGAGGAGATGTGAATCCACCAAGGGGAAAAAGGTGGGTGACGAAGTAAAAGGAATTTGAACTTTTTACCGCCTCGACGTCCCGTACATCTGGTCAAGCAAGATGACGAGGGACATGGCCACCGCCGTGTCCATATCGGGCTGCACGATGAGGCGGAAGACGTCGACTCCCAACGCCACTCCGCCCACTGCCTCCTTCATCTTGATCTCGGCCACCCTCCTCCTTTTGCTGTCGTACACCGCGCAGCACCGCGTCGCGTACGACCCTTCCATCTGATAAAACACAGCGTTCTTGTTGTCGTAGTTTTTCGACGAGCCACTACCTTTGCAGCTGTTGGCTGAGGTCATGTGCGCCAAGCACTTGTTCTTGAGGATGTTCACGTGCTTCGTCGCGCAGAACCGCGGATTCACCTCGGTTTCTCCGTCGTACACCACCCAGTTGTCCACCAAGCTCAGCCGCTAATTTAACACGTACAAAAATTACGTACAACCATCAGCAACCAAATAAATAACACCAACAAAATGTACGCAAACATAATTATTGTCCGACAAATACTCAAGTTAAAATTGTGGGCATATATACCTTGCGACGGATGGTGAGGAGAGGTTTGCCGGAGGCGTCCATGAGGACGATCTCGCCCTTATGGCCGGCCAAGTAGTTATCAACCCTAAAGACCAAATTGCCCTTGGAGTCGAACACCGTGAACCCATTGCAGCTCAACAGCAAGGACTTCTTCCACACCGTCAGGACCGTCGTGTTTTCGTCGTCGGAGCTGGAGCTCTTGAGCCTCTGAGGCTCGCAGGCGCGGACAGTGTTGGCATTTGCAGTGTTCGGGTACACCTTTGTCATCCTTGATCACCTTCCAAACTGACCTTCCAAAATTATGAACCCTACAAGTAGTAGCAGAAGGCAAGTAATTTTTTTTTTTTTTTTTTGTTGGGGAGGTTTTGTGAATGAATAACTTTAAGAAAGAAGTGGGGATTTATATATATACCCGGACAAGGAGATTCCGGGGTGAGGGGTATGGGGTTGGGTGGGTGTGGTGAGAAATTTGCGTGGTCCAAATTAAATGAGTGTATCGTGAGCGTTGAATTCGCAGGAATTGGGATGGCGCACCAATTAAAGCACAGTCGTTTTGGGGATAAAAAGTCGTAGCACGAGTGCGCCACCGTGGCGTGACGTCACACAATTTAGGAACAGACGGGAGAAAAAACAAAAAAAAAAGCATAAAAAATAAAAAATAGTAAAAAATGAATGGATGGGATGAGAAAGGTGGCTGATATATCGTATTCCTGCCGTCGGATGAAAGGTGACAAGGAATATATTTTTATAATATACTTATTCTCATAATTAGAGTAGTGGAGGCCTAATCTTTACTTCTAAGCCAACGTAAAATAAAATTATTCCAAATTATTTAATTTAAAAAGTTTTGGTAAATAAAAATAATATATTCATGTGGCTGTCGACTGATTTGTGGTGGAGTGGGGGTACGCCTGTCCCTTTGCTGCGTTGATATTTTCCAAAGGTCATTTTTTAATTTATCATCTTAATTCTCTTAATCATGGAAGTAATTAGTTTTAATTAGTTAATCAGAGTGATAAGGATGCCATTGGCTGGGGCGGTTTGCGCAGGCTCTCTCCCCAGCCAATTAAGAAGTGGAAGGCATCTGACTTTTTCTATTAGAAGAAATTATCTATTTATTTGAACAAGATAAAATTAATAAATCAAGAGATTCAATAGACTAATTTTTGCGTATGTCATACCTAGGTTTGATTTGTTCCCATTCTACTTGGAGCATCTATATCCCCGACGCTTATGGTCCCCAAAATTATAAGAAAAAGGAAAAAATTAAAACCCTAGTTATTCCAGATGGCTTCTTTCTTTCTTGCATGATTGCTTCTACGGTTTAATTTTGTTTTCTTCTTGGTAAGTTTACTTTGATTCTGTTTGAGATAAACTTAGTTAATGTATTCTGATCATGTTATTCAATGGGCATGTATTCTGGCTCTCTACAATCACTGAAGTTGTTTGTACCCATATTCGTTGCCAAGCCAAAGCCGATATTAATTGTCTGGCTCGTTATAGTTTGAATATTGGCGATCAAAGCGAATGGCTTGATTGTCCTCCGTCTTTCATCATCGACCTCCTCACTGACGATCTTTACACTATGTTTGGATGAGGGAAATAAACTTGGAATTTGGATAAAAGTCAGAATTTATAAATTGACATACACAAATTCCCTTGTTTTGATTTATAACATAGAAATTTAGAATTTCGCGTGGAAAAAAAAAAACTTGGAATTTGGGGCCTCCAATTTCCAAGTTTAAATTCTACGTAAATAGGTGTCATTTCCCAATTTCTATGATTGGGAGTTTAAAATTAACAAATTCTATTTTCAATTCCATTGTTCTTTTAAGTTAACCAAACAACAAAATTAAAAAATTCTAGAAAATAAAATCATTTCATTTCAATTTCCGTCATTTTAAAATTCCTTAGTAATCTTAAATTTCTTCATCCAAGCATGGTGAGTGATTTGGTTATTTTATTTTTAAGATTGTGGACTATTTTGTACTACTTGCCTTTTCGATGGGTTTGGAAGTGGTTTCAACTTCTGCTCTCTAATGAAATATGTATCGTACATTCAAAGAAAAAAAAAAAGTACGAGACTTTGTTATTTTGGTCTTACTCAACCATATGTAAGAGTTTGAGATATTTGGTGTGAAAACTATCATAATAAGGTAGTTGTATCGAAGTTTTTATATAGGTTAGGATGGAAACTCACTCTACATCCCAATTATTTTCTTCCATGCATGATGTGATATCCAATTTTACTAATGACAAATTTAAAAATTCACACCCCTAAAACATAGATCCACAATATAAAGAAACATTTCTTACTAAAAATCCAACTATCTAGTTACTAAATCGTTAATTAAACAAAAAATTGTTCAAATGCATGATTTAGATTAACAGTTTACGATATGATTCATACGACCGTAAAATATTACTCTCCTCCATAGAAACTGACGTTAGTTAAACCATTTTTTGCCCTACAATACGCAAGTTTTCCTGTTTTATTAGGCCAGTAGCAAGTTTCTTTGTTTGTAATTGGAGCAAGTAGTAAGTTAATTATTTACTTTTAGGCTAATAAAATAGAGTCGTAAGCTATATAGTTTATATTATTACTGAGCTTTCTATGTTGTTGCTGGCCGTCTCCCAAATTTAAAAATAATTACCATGCAACGCAATTGGATAACTCACCAGTTTGTCCTAACCAATCGCACAAAACTTTGAATTCATTTTGTTTTATAAAAAAAATGACAAATAAAAATAGAAGGTATAGGGCAAGTCGTCATCATCAATCCAAAGACCGGGGGCTGCCCATGCAAGGGGTTTCTAGACCAACACCACAGTCCACAACCCTTCCTAATTCCTTAAAATGGTTACCTAACAAGCATCGAAACCATCTGCTAGCTACTAGCTACTAGCTTAGCTAGGATATGTAAAGATCATACGTATGATGAAAACTACAACTACGTCCCAACAAGAAGATAGAAACTTATAACCGAGCGATTATAATGACGATATTTCGAGTTAATTACGTACCGTTATATGTTTTAGCTATTTAAAAAGTAAGACAGATGACTAGTTTTAAAGAACAAGAGCACTAGACCTAACTAAACATCATTCGCGTTCCTATATTTCAATATATGACCAGTAGCAGTGCTACAATTCAATATTTGACACGATAATTAGTTCAAGAAGCTTCTAACCTCCCAACCTCCAACTACGTGCCATGCCCTACAACCCTTAGGGATCAAGACTCAACATTGGACAATATTAGTAAAACACAAAGCAAGTGGGGTCATTTACACAAATTGATCCCTTCCTCTCCCTCCCTCTCTCTCTCTCTCTCTCTCTTCTTTAATATCTCTCGCCCAACTTTGATACTGTATGATTTTCTTAGAATATCGCCACAAAGATTAGTAAAAGGTAAAACGTAAGCATTCAGGTCATTTGAAAAATTGACCCTCTTTTACTCTGCAGATTTTGCTTGAAATATCACTACAATAACATCATGTTGCATGAAAGCCCCTCTCCTACAACAACTCCACCCATTCAAGACTCCATATCATTGGATTCCATTTGCAACACCAGATGATAACAACACATGGCTGTGGGGACTGGCGATCAGTAGAAAGTTAGAAACCGTGCTTATAAGTTATAATCATGGCTGGCTGGCTGGGGTTGGTGATTGTAATAATTAGCAAGTTTGGTGAAACTTTGTAATGGAACTTCAACTCATCAGTATCATCCTGCGTAATGTTAGGTAGACTAAAATTTTAAACTAAATTTGTTAATCATATGACGTATCATTAATATAAAATAAACATATTAATTAACACTTAAGTAATAATCCAATCATAAAAACTTTGAAACTGATGAAAATAAGAAATGGAGACAGACGACGAGCTCACGCTGAAAACAACGTCGCATTTAGTATGGTGTGTGTGGTGGTGGTGGGACACTTGGGGGTTTTGAGTGCAAAGACCCAATATTCTAATTCCTCCACTTCGACCAAGTATTGTTGCTTTACCTAATAGCCATGAATCAATTCTTATTTTTTTAAATTTTTTTTGCTCAAAAATCAATTCTGATATTCCATTCCCAAAATATCATGATTCGATTCTTAAATTCCATTTCCAAAACATGAGTCAACCTCTCAACCATCAATAGCCTTGTGTTTGTGTGACACAAATCTACCTTTCATTGCCCTTGTGTTTATATGCTTTACGCACTTGGATATGGACGACTTCTCTACATGATGCATATTCCTTTGTTTCTATGACATGCTTGCAGCACAAGTAAGTGTTTTTTGTACTCTCTCGTTTTTCTCCTACATTTTTTTTAACTTTAAAATTGAATAAACTAAAGAAAAATTAACAAAGAAAAGGAAAAGATGGAATGCAGAAGAATAATGTTTGCACATAAGGTTCAATTAAATCTGTGGGATGTTGAAGTGGTGAAGGTGAATGAGGAAATATGTCCGTATCAAACTAGATCAAAGGTTCGATTCCCCTTTCTATTTACAAAATACCAATTTAAGAGAATGGCTAGAGGTTGACAATTATTTGTGTTCGGATTTACCCTTTTATATCCATGTAGTGTTCATATCAATCAATCATGTTTACAGGCACACCAAATAATGATATAATGGAAGCTGCTATTAACACTAATATCACATGCACTCCTCCCTCATAAAATAAATAAGGAATGAAAGTAGGCATAATGGTGCTAATAATCATTCTCTAGCACAAATAATTCATACTATTCATTAGAAAAACAATAAAAATATTTGGTTTCGCTAGCATTATCGCATAAAAATAACTCATGCTTAGGTTAACAATTCATAATATTAAGGGAATTTTAACGAAAAACTCATTAGAAAAACCATAAAAATATTTGGTTTCGTTAGCATTATCGCATAAAAATAACTCATGCTTAGGTTAACAATTCATAATATTAAGGGAATTTTAACGAAAAGCTCTTAGTACTGTTCACTTTAACGAAAAATCACATTTTTACACTAAAAAATTAATCCTGGTACTATTCATTTTACCCTTTATTTTGTTTAAAACTCAAAGTTTTCAAATCATTTTAATTAATTTTTCTTAATATTAAACACTGAAGTAACATTAAATCAACATCTAATAAGATAAATTCAATAATTAACATGACATTTACTTCAAATATTTTCTTTAAAAATTGTTAGTTATTTACATAAACTCCTATATTTTTGTGCCAATTTCGAGTCGTGTTCGAATTCGCAACTCCTACCCTAGATCTCATGCCAATGGATAGACATCCACATATTCAATAGTAAAAGCACACCGACTGACAGACTGTCATAATTTTTAAGTTCTCACTATCTTGGATCATCCAAAAGAACACAAAAAAATAATG